TGTTGAGGAGGTACCAAAAATAGTTTAAATTTCACTCTTATCTCTTCGGTTCCTCCGACCACTTATCGTTTATCTCTGCGTTCGCCCGAGCCCCTTTTGCAGAGTGGTAAGCCACAGTAATCGATCAGTGGATCTGGCGTTATATCCGCGAATGATGCCGTTGCTTCGCTTTCGCGCTAGGAATTAAGAGTGGGCCGTGGCAGCCCACTCCTTCTATTCAATCAGTTCGACAGAATCCACCCTTTGAGCGTGTACCCCTAAATAAAGAAGTCAAGTTAAATTGCTTCCTTTTTAATTCGCGCATCGTAGCGAACAAGATTAATCATCTACACATGTTTTTAGCACACATAAGCCCGATATCCTTATTGTAACAGAGACGTGAGATTCTTGGCGCGGCTCATTGTTCTACTCATTAGGTTCATACCTGAAACGACCTGAAACGCACTTCTTTTCCATAGCGTTTCATAAATTTTCGAGAGTCAGATCTAGCCATGCTTGATTTGGTTTCCTCTCCGATTTTTGACCTTTTTGAGATCATTACGTACGAAATATTACTTGTAGGTTTAGTTTTACTATCGAGCTTTATTTTAGGTGTTGTTTCTTTTAACTGTGTGCATGATTCCGTTGAACGACCGCCAAAAATCGAAAATCTGGGCAGAACTCCTTATGCGATTTTTTACGTAACCGCCTTTTGTGAGTATATTCACGAGGATATGCCAAGGAACGGCATCAAGGATGCTCACTGGTGAGTCATACACTATGTGTTTTCTTTTTTGAGGAGGATCCAGTTATGTGATTAGTTCTACTGAACTTGCTGTTAGTGATCTAATATAGCCATCTAAAGTGAAAGCAAAGCTTTTTTGGTTTCCATCCTGTATTCTTCTTTCTGCTGACTATGCTCGACGGTGGGTTAGCCGCCTTCTGCTACGTTATTTTCTCGTTTTGGTTTCTTTTTTGCTTCTTATATATTACATATGTATATGTTTCTCATTGAAGACTGTTCTAAACGATATATTGTCTGAATGGCTTCCTTTTTATGTTTGCCTGGTATAGGAGCGCATGACATTGTCGCAGTTTTTGATGAATGCGATGATTTCTAAAGTAGAACGACAGGTGGAAGACTCTTTGTTCATTGCTATACTAATTTTTAGCTCTAATTAATTTACTCAATTACGATTGGGAAAGTGTTTGGTGATAAGATAGGCAGGATACAGTAACTGTTTTTGGCAAAGTGGAAAAGAGTGACGAATTTGTAGACGATCTTTGAAGATTTTGCTTGTGTTGTGACGGTTTATTGATTTCGTGGATCTTATCTATTATACAGAACTTCACACCATCCTTCACCACCTAGTGAGCGTTTCTTTTCTCTAGCCCTGTTTCCCATTTCATCGTAATTCACGCAGGTCCCTTGTCAACCCTATCTATTTTGACTACATACATAGCCTTGCGAATGTTTCACAAGAATGCTGGGTTGTGAACAAAACTTTCGCCCCAGGCGGGACTAGAACCCGCACCTCTCGCTTTCCGAAAGCAAGAGGTGCGGGTTCTAGTCCCGCCTGGGGCGAAATTCAGTTCAAATATTTCATAAATAATATAGAGTAATAGCCTCAACGAAGTAACGCTTCAGAGTATCGAGTCTTCTGAAACAGTGGGGCGTGTGAAGGGCTTTTTCGGTGTCTTTGATGCACTTCATTGGGTGAGGGGGGGGTGTTTTTTTTTTTTTTTGTTTTTTTTTTTTTTTTTTTTCTGATATATTCATTGACACTTGGCGACAACATTGTGTGCGTATCTTGGCATCATTTCTGCATAATTAGTAGTCTTCACCCCCTAAATGATTTAGTATTCAAAAACTCACTTTTGTAAGGAGTGCTTATTATTTGGCGGACCATGTATGCGGATAGGTTTTAAATATGAACTTCTCCTCCACATTTCTGCTCGAACACTTATATTTTGTGAATATTAAAAAGTTTACAGCCATGGTGTTTCTCATATCAGGATCTGTTGAGCGTTGAAAGGTTTGCTTGGAACATGGTTGGGCCCAAGGGGATCTGCCTTTTTAGTCTGACCAAATCAGCAGTTTACCTGAAGAGCTGTAAGGTCGGTCAAAGTAGTAAATTCCAAAATATTTGGTCGTAACACTATAAACTAATTTCAGAATCTGTTAGAATCTCTGATTATATTCATGAGCGCCATAGGAAAGAGTCTCAGCAAGACGTTCAAGACTGATACGTGACAGGGGAGACTGTGAGTCTTGGTAAAACGATTAGGGTTGCACCGGATTCCGGCATAAAGACGATATGCAGTCTTTAAAAGCGAGACAAGAAGAGGGGAATCCGGACGATGGAATCAGACTACTGGAATTAGCTGAGGATCCTACCGGGAAAGGATTTCGCATGAGTGAGGACTGTTACAAATGAAATGAGTTTGTGCATATCAATTATTTTTTCAATCATAGTTACCTATCAGCAAGAGGAATGGTTGAGGAAGTCTCGACATCGGGAATCTCGTGATGAGACACATAACGCCACACGATACAATCTCAAGCTGGCGACGGTTACGGTTTTGAACAAGAGGGACACGGGTGTTCCAGCAGGTGGACGAAATCAGTTACTATAGATGAATCCAGTGGAATTGAAACCGGCAATTTTTAAGCCTTCCTACTCAGTGGGCATGACGGTCGGCAGAAGCTAAAGACTTTTCCTAAATCAAGAGTGATACCGAATCATTCTTTTCAATCAATATTACCGTCGAGAGCCGTGCTTTTACGGCGTTTCAGCCATGTGTTTTCTCATCGCAATCCAAACTCACTATACAGATGGACATTGGAGAGTGGCAGAGAACGCTGGTTAATTAGTTGGGAAGGAAGTTTGTGAATGGGATTATAATTATCAGTGATGCGGTGTGCAGTCAATCCTTCTTCGAGGACATTTATGAATTAAAGTTTCAGCCTCAAATCCATAATAGATTGAAGAAGATGCTGAGAGATCTCTCAAGATGGAAGAGCTGCCCGCGTTCCAAATCGGGGGGCCAGGGTCACATGGAGGATTACTTGAGGCGGAACTATCTGGGTACAAGGCTTAATTGTGATAATTGCTCCTCAACTTATAGAAACCCTGTATAAGATAGAACACCTATGTGATCACCATTCCCGAATCAGGGTGCCATAATGAATAGTGAGAGGTGGTACTTGCGTCTGAACACAGAATTTCTCTACAGAAATGCTAATGCCAGAGCAGACTGCCTGGTGGACCTTCTGATCAGAGCCGTGGAAGAGATGTCGAAGTCAGATGAAATCAAGGTACATCGCAACAATTTTACTATGTTGAATAGAAGCAGCATTTTCTTAAAGCTCGTCGTCGGCTTGCTGAAGCCTCTCACCGCGTCCAACAGACCGCCATATGTCCATCCCCACGCCTTGAAATTTTTTGGCTCACATCCTGATAGAATTTGCGAATTGAGCACCGGAAAATGGCAAGTACTTACAAGGCAACCCGAAGGGCAGCACATGTACATTAGCCATGTACGACTGCGAATGCAGCGACGCTGCACAGTGGATTGCCCATTGCCCCCTCCGCGACGTCTGCCCATATGCACGGTCATGCTCCTGTACAGGACAATCGAGCAGGAATCAGCTGCATTCATCGCCATGCTGTGATGCTTCATGGTCAGGCTGCCAACAAGGCGGCATTCAGAATTACACCAGATCAAGCAACTGAGGAAGAAGTGGGAGTACCTGGAGATACTGCCGGACCAAGAATTGCACCACACGGGAGAAATAAGCGCCGCTCAGGAAAGAAGAGACAGCAGAGAGATCAACTGAGAAACTCTATCAATATGGTGAGCAGAGAGGACTTATGTTTATATTGAAGTAAAACATGAAATATTTCAGCAAATATCTGTGCTCCAAACTAATGTGAACGCACTAGTCAATACAGATACAGGAGCCAAGAGAAGTGCTTTCGGCGAACGTCGACCTGATAGATGAAGCTTCTAAAATGCACCTGACGCCTTTGCAAGGGATAGCCGTGCGACCAGACCGGGATGTGTAGAAGTAGCAAACTGAATAACAGCATCGAATTGCGACAGCAATGAAGAATAAAAGCGAAGACATTGCGAACAGTAGCAAACCTGCCTTTATATTCTCGATTTTGGCGCGCGGAGCACTGCA